CCAGGACCTGCATCATCGCCGTAGCCCATGGCACGCACGATACTTGATCACGGGATAGGCAACACAAGGCCTTTCACGCACAGTAGGAGGCTCCCCATAGTGCCTGCCCCCTTCTACCTAAATCCATGGGAAAAGACGCAGCAGTCGGTGGCTCTTAGTCCGGCGTGCTGTCTATGGCGCTCAGCACAGTGCCGGCTTGGGCATCGCTCGGAATCGATCCACAGCATGCCGACGCTGCGAAGTTGTTCGCAGAAAACTTACTCACAGCTCAATAGCGATACGGTCGTGTCACACCAGTCAGCCCCCTGAGCAGCTCACGTTCGTCCGTTACCCAGGAGCTGCAAGACATACCGTTGATCGACGTGCTCCCCACATCAAGAAGGCATTATTATCGGCACTTTTTGACGGGCGGCGTTCCCCTGATGTTCCTGGTCTTTCTAGTAGTAAGTGACCAGGCGGCATCGTTTCAGCGCCTTCTGAGACGGGCTCGTCTTGTCAAAGAGCTGGGGGAGGAAAGGCAACAGCTCACAGGTATTGCGCATGTAACATGCGGCCAACAAGGATGCCTCGAGAGCCACGGCAATGTGCAGACTGATGGTCTAAAAGTAGAAGGGCTTTAAGCTTAGCCTTGGGGCTATTGGCTCTGGGTGTTGATCACCCCGCCACGGACACGGGCACGTCGATAATTCCAAGTTGTGGCTCTAGTCGTTACCAGAAGCGTGGTAGATATTTCATCCACGCATGGTCATGGAGAGATCAACGGCCATGGGCAATATGAGCGATGAGAGCTCTAGGCCGGTCTCGAAAACAGGCGACTGTGCCTCGCGGCGGCTTCAGAACAGCCACCCCAGTCCCCGCCCCCAGCCCCCATTTCTTTTCCCACGTGGATTGATCGCGATTCGGGCACTTTCTTTTCCCGTTTCTGCCGTTAAGCAGGATCCGGTCTCATGTCTTTCTGCAGTCTCGCGTGTTCGAGAGGCTTGTTCCAAGCCGGCGTTTCTTCTTTCACTCGCCATGCGCTGCCATGCCTGCCACCATATGGACCCCCCTGAGGTCGCACAACGTGCAGCATTCCATTTCACGGGTTCCTATAGCCAGTTATCCCGTCGGCGCAAGGCCCTGTCTGTCGACCCCGAGCAGGCCGTCAGTTTGTCACGAAGACAAGACATGCAGGCACCTCGATCGACTTGTAAGTGATCGCCCACCATATAGAGACAGGGGGGGCGGTCGCCTTCAAGACGCCAGGAGTGTACTAACAAGGCCCAGGCCAGTTCGGCCGCAAGGCTCACGACGCTGCGCTGCGGGCTGCATAGGTATAGAGTACTTGGCGGAGACGAGCCATGTGAGATACTACTAGAAGAGGGGGGGGGGGGAGGGGGTTAGAAGTCATCGACCCCTAACCCGGCCTGGCTCGGTCTCAGCGGTGGGGACCGCCACGTGGTCAGGCAAGCCACGAGCGAAAGTTCCATACGACGTCCAGGGCGGCCCTAGTGGAAATGTTCAGAAGGCCAGGGCCAGGCTGACACGCTGGCATATGGCTGCTGACTGGGCTGCTAGGAAGGCGAAAGCTAAGGCCGGCTTGGTACTGTATAGGCTACCACCCAATGGCATTGGTGTCCTTTTTTGTGATTTCCTTTCTTCTCTTGCACTGGCGACAAAGTGGTTGCCATAACCCTAGTCTCCCACCGTCATCAGCGGCGTGCGTGCAGACAGCAAACGCAAAATGGAAACAAGAGCACGCGTCGCGGACGCCGCCACGAGCTCCGGTCTTCCAAATGCAACGCCCTTCCTGATGAGTACTATGAAGTGTGCGTCGTCCAGGCACAGGTCGTGGGATCATGGAATCGTGTCTTTCGGCATTACTATGGTATATGCGTACAATACAACACACACGCAGAATCGGGGCACATGGCGGCGACGCGGCTGCAAGATGCTCCACAGTGCTACTCGAGACGTGCGCATGGCAAACTTTTTGAGATTGGCCGTCCATGGCACACACAACCACGCACAGAGGCATAGTTTATGTCAGTATCCTAAGGGATTGGGCGAAACTTCAGGAGCTCGACCGGTGCGGCTCGACAGCCAATGATGCACTCCAAACAGACGCACCGCATAAGAAGTCTGCTCTCCGGATCAACTTAAACCTATCCGTACACTACGTAGAGTCTACCACATACGGCTGGCTGTACGTTGCCTGCTCCCCTGCGCACATCGGGGAGCCCGCCAGGGAGCCCCCTCGGGGAGCCCACCGACCGATGCAATGGTTTCGTCCAAGTCTCGCCCAAAGCAAAACGGGCTTGCTTGCCTGTCTTGCCGCCCGACACTTGGGACGAGACCTGCCCAACAGGAACAATGTACAGTACCTATGTAGTGTACTGTAGGTAGGTACTACCTACCTGATGTAGGTACTACCTACCTACCTGCCTACCCACACATACGTAACTGTGGTACTGTATGTGTGAAACTTTTTTTCTGGGCCCGTCAACACCGCTCCTTCTCGTCTCCGCTCCGGCTCGGCACAACATCACGTGTCACCTCTTGTTGACGTCGGATGCATAACCGCGAAACCCCAGGTTGCATGACCACAACGAATTTTTGGGGCCCGGGGTACAGTATACGTTACGCAGGACAGGGCACCGCCATTTCGTACGCGACACCTTTGTTCTCGAGAAAGGGCGCCATTCCCGGCTCGTACGATACGTTGCGACGAGGTACGGATACATAGACTACACTATGCTCACGTAGTGTACACCACCACTGCGTATACGCCGCCATGCCATGCTCAACACGTGGGTCCATTCTCCAGAGTGCCCGCGGGTCCTTGGACGAGATGGGTATTCCGGTTTCATTCAAGATGCTTACCCCTTGGTTCACAAGGACCACATGGCTACTAGCGTCCAAAAGTCCCTTACCCTCCCTCTCCTTGCCCTCTGGACCTGCACCCTAGGACGGACACCAAGCATGTGTCCACAAAGCCATCATTTGAGATTCTCGGGAAGGGCGTGTTTATACGGATGGATACAATGCCCTTGAAAAATGGGTTTCGTTCGCCATATACGGACGGTGCAGGAGTCTTCTTGTTTCACTTCTCCAGCTGTCAGTACATGACTGTAACATACGGTAGATCACTCCAGGGGATGAGTTTTTTTTTTAGAGTTTTTTTCTTTTCTTTTCTTTTCTTTTTCGCGCCCCATCCCTCCCTTCCTTTTTTTTTATCCTTTCGGGGTTTTGCCGGCCTTGGAATGCAAGTCGTCAGCCCTACGCGGCACTGTCATTCGATCGATCAAAGGCACAACCGCGAAGTATATCGTTATCCAGTCTACAGTAATCTCTGCGTCAATAAGCAACGCAGTCTCATATTAGATGCCTTGGTTTGCGGTCTTGCTTCAAGGTGGCGGTTCGGCTTCCCGACTCAAATCCTTTGGTCATGTTCCGCCGCAATGGGCTACTGAGGCGTGATAATACATAAAAGAGGGGTAAATGGAGCAAGCAGTCCTACTTGCATCGCCCAAGAGACTGCAGGTCGCTACGGCCGTCTGATATCGGAGCGTCAATCGCCTTTGACGCTGAGGAACGTGGGCGGACGGTCGTTCGACCTATTCCACGTGGCGTAGAGCCTCCTCGCACGACAGCAGGCAGAAAAAGAAAAAAAACTACCACCGTCTCTAGCTCGACCAATCGACGGGAATTCCCCCCTCGATTCTGGAGCAGGCAAATGGCATGCACACGATGGAATCCAGCCAACAGAAATCCGAGTCTCACAGCCAGACTAGCCTTGGAAGGCTTACGGCCGTTACCAGCCCAGTCGTAAGGTCGTACACGTGCCATCCGCCAATGGCTCGCGCCGTCGGGCGTGGGCTTCACGTGGGACTGCGCCCGTTCCCTTTTGCTTAATTTCTTCAGGCGGAAGATGTGCTGTCACGACGACTCACCAGCCTACCTACAAGATCCGTATCATCGAAGCGTTTCTTTCCCGGCTTGAGGGATCCCAGCACCCGTTGAGCCCATACTAACTTGGCAGCAATGAGCGCCGGCACCGGGCCCCGGTCCGGACCTAGCCGCCGCACACACCCCCTTGCACCTGTCAACGACATCTATTCCCAGACATCCTGCATACGTAGTAGTACTTCACCCCCGCAGACGGCTGGAGGATGCGTCGCTAGCCGTCTAATCTGGTATCAGGCAGGACGGATGGCCTGATTGCGGGAGAGCCCTCTATCGTCGCACAGACATGGCTGGAACGCGAGCGACGATTGCTGATCTGATTGGGGGATACGGACACGAAGCGTTGGAACCCTTCCAGTGCTATCTACCCAGCAGGGCCGAGAAGGATCATCATTGGCACGGTTCGCCTGCTATCGACGCATGACTGAACGATGCGGGCGCGGAACCGACACCGGGCAGCCTGCGGCTTAGCTTGATCAGGTACGACAAAGTCTAGGCAGGGTGAGCAAACGCCCGGGACCACGAGCGATGTGACAATAACCGCGGCTCGCGCCATCGATGGCCCGCGATCGCCTCTCGCTCTCCCCGCTCTCTCTCTCTCTCTCTCTCTCTCTAGCTTCCCTCTCGACCTCCTTGACTTCGGCGATTGCGTCCTGTAATAAGGGCGATAAAACCGGCCGTATGGGCTTACCCATCCGTTTGGCTTATGAGACAAGGCCGGACATCCCGAACTGATCTACGCTGCTAAGCACATGCGAAACGATAATTAGGTTTCCATTAAAGTAGAGGGTCCTTCTAAAGGCGTGCTGGCATAGGTCGAATCTTGAGGGGTGTATTTCCGCCCAATGATGATGTAACTGTTTGTAGCATTAAACGTTTTTTCGGCACGAGATGAGTGCTTGGCACGTTTGCCTCAGAGCAATAGCATGGACCAGACTCGCGTAAA